TTTTCCAGTTCGATATGTTAATTTTTATGTGACATCAGCAGTTTGCAAGTAGTAATATTAAAGTATTACTACTATTAATAAGAATTGCACTTAAGAAAAAAACTGAGGGGTCAACAGAGAGTTTTCTCTTTAAACAAGCTGAGAAAGTTGATTCTGTCGATCTGAATGCAGCGTTTTCAGCAGAAGAGTGACTTCTTCAGTCTTGGCTAACTGCAGGTTTCCCCAACCTTATAAAAATTTTCATAACGAACAAAACTAGCACCTTTGACTAACAATGGGCTGTGAGGTCGGTTTCATTATGATTGGATGATTGGTATGCAGTGGCGGTCCTAGCCTGTTTGGCGCCCTGGGCAAATGGAGGGCGCCCTTACTCCCAGCAAATGGGCGATAGAAAACCGATCGGTGCCTATGCCATTCCCAATATGCGCTGGCTGATGTCGGGGCAGCTTGAGTACGAGCAATTTTGGTTTTTTTGCCGATGCCCATGATGCCGCCCCCCACCTCGATGCCGCCCCGGGCAACCGCCCGTGTCGCTGGTATCAAAAACCGCTACTGTTGGTATGCCAGTCGTCATTACCGTTGCTCATGACTTGCTCATCATTGGTCATCAGTACCATTCACAGAGAGTTAGGAAATGACTGCAATCACAGCAGTGTAGGATGGTGAAAGATTAACCCTTCTTCTTTTCTGGTTGCTAAGTCTGTGAAGATGATGTTGTAACATCCTGATGACACGCAGTTTGTCCTCCAGTAGATGATGAGACTCAAACTTTAAATACTGATCAGTATTGTTGGTTTATGGTACACACAGACTTTCAAATGTCCCCCATTGCTGATGGAAAGCTCACCATCTAAGAAAACTAGCCTGTCATTTTTTTACTCCGCCCTTGAGAACTTGATATGTTTGTCCACCAAGTTAATGAAATCAGTGAATCCTGATATGTGCTGAGGTTTGGTTTTCAGCCATGTCCACATACCTGAACTAATGGCTCAGTGGTGTTCCAGGAAAGAATAACAGAGCCCTATTTTCTACTTTTTCCATTTACAAGTTAGCTATTCTGAGCGAAACTAAGGAATCCGTGGTGCACCCATGTTCTTGCCCATAGTACTGGGATTGAAGATGCTGTGTTCAGATGAACATAATCAACTTAGTGGAGCTTCCTTACCTTGATGATAAAGCATTCATCGTGACAGACTTTACTAGCTTAGTTAATGTTTTATGCAAGCTTGTTTCCACCACTGAAAAAGTCCTTTTTTGGCATTAGCAAGTCAGAATTTGAGGTTATTTTGTTTAGTAAGCCTAAATTTTAAGATTAAAACCCAAAAATCTATGTTATGTTCTGTTTTGTTTTTTCCAGTGGTGAAAACAAGCTTCCATAAGGAGTCTATGGAAGCTCATAGTTTTGGTTTTTAGCCACAAAACCAAACAAACTAGTCAAACATTTTGCAGAGGCTGTCAGTAACTTTGCCCAGCTTTGTTCATATTCAACCAGAAGGGCTTCACTAAATAAAACCATAGGTAGTACATAAGATGGATGTAGTCACTCTGGCAGTTATTGGTTGATAAAGGAGTGTTGAAATTGGATTTTATGTATGATCTGATATCTTTATGTTAGTGGTTTTCCTGCATTATTATAATAAATGTTGGTCCCGAATCAACGCTGCCATAGACTGGTCAACTGTTTGGAGAACTCAGTTTGCATTAACCAAGAAGTTAGCTAATGCAATTGAAAGGTATCACGAGCAAGCTAACAGCAAGCTAACAGTAAGCTAACAGCAAGCTAACAGCAAGCTAACAGCAAGCTAACAGCAAGCTAACAGCAAGCTAAACTTTGTAATATATTCATTATAATGTAGAAATGAATAAAAATAACACCTGAAATCCTTACGGTTTGTTCCAGAAGAAAGGTCTATGTAGACAACAATTTATTTATTTTTTATTATTAAAACAACAACAACATTTTCCCTACTTTACAAAGCTTTGACATCATGATTGGTCGATTGGATTGTTGATCCTTGACTAATATTAATAATGATTATGCAGGAACAACGGTGCCTGGATATCCGATCTGATTCTGGAACGGTACATGTGTGATTGTTAGCCACTGAGCACATCTTGAATAGTCCTTTCTTCTTACTCGTAAGCCTCAGTTATACTGTCCATGTTTGCAAGTCCCAGCGTCCAAGGACCTTTGGAGTTCCCTGTTTAATCCAGAACTGAATTTAAACTCTTCTTCCCATATGCATAGTACAAAATAAACATATCTTAAATATCATATTATCCAACCAGAGCAATTCAATGAGCCTGAGCTATCAGGCCCCTCTCCTGTGGATCCAGCTCCCTGCTTGGCTTAAAACCTTCCTTTTTGATAAAGTTTACAGTTAGAGCTGAATCAGGTGTCCCTGAACCATCCCTTAGTCGTCACTCACACAGCCCTGGAGACCAGTTGGCATCCTCTTGTTGCTAGGGGAAAATATGTATTTCCCGATTGGAGGTTGGTTGCTGAAGGTTGTAGCTATATTTACTGCAGCAATAAATAATTTTACCTTTAAGGCTAATAGTCTTTGTTTTCAGTATTTATTGTGCTTTTCAACATTTTACTACTGTTTGGTGAGGAGTTTGTGCGTATTTGCATGCAGGTCTTCCATGCAACTGTGGTAGCCTGCTGGTGGGAGGTTTCCAGTGCACCACTGTATAACTCTTTGCAAATAATTCCACTTAGCAACTTCCAGAAACTACTCTTCAGCTGGTTTGGTAACATACTTTTCCCCCTTGTGACCTCTAGTTTCCAATGAGTCACTGACCAGTCCAGTCTAGGCCTGCATGAATAGGGCTGAAGCTAACAATTTTACAGCGACTGTCAGCAACCTCCAGCAACCACCCAGCAATCACTGAGGAATAGCATATTTTTCCCAGTGTGACTGGGGCCTTAGGTATAGCCTCAATGCACTGACCATCTCTTCTCCACCCCATTGTGTTTCTTCTGCCATCACTGCAGGGTAACTTTTATTCTTTTTCTTTCTTTGTTTTTGATCTCTCTGTGCTCTTCTTTTCTGTCTTCTCTTTCCCCTCACCCCCATTGCTGCCCACTGCCCCTCCCTGAGTATTTTTCTGTTGAGGGTCTCTTCCTGTTAAAGGGACGTTCTTCCTCCCCACTGTTGCCAAGTGCCAAGTCTATCTGTAACAACCTTCTACTGACCAGCTACCTATATGCACTGCAGCAATAAAATTAACCTTAAATATGGAATTTGCTGTTTCAGAAGCCCAAAGCTACGAGAACCTGGCTGAGGAGAGCCAGAGCATCCACGACTACGAGGATGGCAACTGTGAGCAGAATGTCAGCAACCATGAGGAAAGCATCCACGACTACGAGGATGGCAACTGTGAGGAGAATGTAAGCAACCATGAGGAAAGCATCCACGACTACGAGGAGAGCACAGAACCCCAGGCTGGCTACATCAAGATGGAGGGAGACATCATGTTTCCTCCTCCTCCAATCTTCAACAGCATGAACGGTAGTGTTTTGGAGGCACAAAGCTACGAGAACCTGGCTGAGGAGAGCCAGAGCATCCATGACTACGAGGATGGCAACTGTGAGCAGAATGTAAGCAACCACGAGGAAAGCATCCACGACTACGAGGAGAGCACAGAACTCCAGGCTGACTACGTCAAGATGGAGGGAGACATAATGTTTCCTCCTCCTCCAGTCGTCAACAGCATGAGCGGTAGTGTTTTGGAGGCCCAAAGCTATGAGAACCTGGCTGAGGAGAACGACTATGTGGAGAGCGTGGACAATCAGCCGGACTATGTGAAGATGGACGAGGAAGATCAAGCAGGAGACAACACCTCCACGGAAGACTATGATGACATCGGGGGTGAAGAAGAGGATGAGGAGGACTATGATGATGTGGGATAAAACCCGACACAATGAGATGGAGACACTTTGGAATTCTGCTGAGCAGAGATTATCCTTACTGAAGATTTCTCTTGTCATTTTGTATTTTTTTAATAACATTCATTAAAAAAAAAGAAAATAATTGAAGTACTGAAGACACTGAAATCTGCCGAGTGGTGTTGAGACAACTGGTTTGATCTTTAAGACGGTGATTCTTTTTAATATATCGAAAAAATTCTGTTTTTCATCTGAACGTTGTAATCGTTTGTTTTTTTTTTTACTGAATACATTAACAAGCAGTGACTTGCACAAGATCCCAGATTAGGATGATATCTGGGTTTGCAAACTACACATGAAAGCAATCAAACTATATTTCTTTGTCTTCTTCTGACATTTAAGGTACATTTAGTTTTAAACATGAAGCTTTTGCATATATCATGTGTAGAGCATTCCCATGCTTTTTGAGAAGGACAGGCCATGTTGCTGGAGGCTTTCGTTATGCTCAGTTTGGTGAGATTTGGTACTTTTTTAATGAGCTGAATCAACTAGATCAACAGTGTAAGTAAGGTTTTTGCTGTATGAAACACAAAAAACTATTGGAGCTTCAAATTTCATCCAAACTAAACATAAGACATGAAATCTGAAAGTCTGTAACTGCAAGAGCCTGAGATGTTTTTCTTTCTTTATGTGTTTGTTGATTTATTTATACACATGAACATCGATATAAGATTAATATGTAATTTTTTTGGGTTTTTTTGCTTCTTTTCTAAACTAAATATCAGTGTAAAGGGGGTCTCCCCCTGTCCAGATCCCAAACATTATCAGTGAGGCGTCTGACTATCGATCATATGGTGGGTTTGTTTACTTTTGTATATCAGTTGGTCCGTTTGAGTGGTTAACAAGTGGGGGAATCAGCAGGCAGTGATGACATGTTTGCATGGGCAGTGATTACAGTGGTTGGTTATACGTATGCACTGTATCTATACAGTCCTGTGAAAAACTAAGGATTGATTTGTGATTCAGTAGCTTATAGATTCCCCTTCAGCAGCAATAACTCAGAGTAACTGTTTTGTGTATGACTTTGTCATGGTTGTGAAAAAACGTTGCTTCACGCCTTTTGTTTACGTACAGCATTTCAGTCGGGGTCAGGTCTGCACTTTAATTCTTTTCTTTTATTCACCATGATGTTGTAGATGCTTGGGATCATTGTTCTGCTGAGTCAGCAAATTTGGGCCACGCTTTAACTGCTAGACAGATCGCCTCACATTTGACTCTAGAATACTTTGGAAAATACTTTGGCACACAGAGGAGTTCGTGGGAGACTGAAGGGTGTCCTGTGACTGTGAAACAAGCCCAAATCATCATCCCTCCACCACCGTGCTTCACAGTTACTACAGTGTGTTGGTTTTTGCCAGATGTACTTTTGCACAATGTCCTTACATTTGCAA